AAGGTGTTTCGTCGGTCGTTTTTTGGGTATATTGCTCGATTAAGTGATTTTGAAGGGAGGGGGTATTTTTTTAATTTTTAAAGTTTAAACAAATTTCCATTAATTATACTGTTACCCATATGTGTTTCAATCTTTTCAGTCCAGCCCCTTTTTGCATGTTTAGTTACAATTAAGAGTGCCACATCAGATTTTTAAATTTAAAAAAAAAAGAAACCCAATTTTTAGGGTTATTTTTTTAAATCCAATCTTTGGATTTTTTGGGAGTTAAATATACCCAATGACATACTCCCACCCAAACTTTGCCCTAACAACAATTTACTACACAAAAAGTTTAAGAAGACAATTACACACTTTCCATCAAAGTCTTTTAATAAAATCTATTTGAAGAAGGACAAGATAGTGATCTCATTCTCTCAAATCGATGCCAAGGTTATTACATGTAAATATTGCTAGTCTCATTAATTATTATCGTTACTTATTAGTTTGATATCGTTGATTTAAAAATGGAGACCCAAGTAGACAACCAAGATTAATGACCTTTTGTTAAAGGTGGTTCCTCCATTGTTTCAAGAATTTTCAACAATTCCCGCAGAGAAAATGAAGAGATGAGTGGAAAAGAAAGAGAAAATAAATTAAAAATAATAAAGAAAAAAACTAAAAAGAGGAATGAAAGGCGATTAATAAAATCTTGTTTGCAACTATGGCTTATGCATGGTCTTCCAACAATTTCTAATTGTACAAGTTTACACAGTAAAAAAGCAAGCTAATAAGATTAATAATTTAACATAAATGAATAAGTCTATCCTTACAAAGACTTCTACAAAGAAGCCAACAAAGTGAAGAAAAGAAAAAAGAAAAAACGGAAAAAGAGAAAGAGAGAGAGAGAGAAATCATGAAGATTAAGGGTGGGGGTTGTCTTTGTATGTCTCTTTTGTAGGCTTCTTTGTAAGACTAGCACTGCTGAACATAAATTGTTGCTTGGACGGAACGCACCAACTATTTTGTTAATATTATATTAGTCACTCAAATCTGTGTTATTTTAGCGGTTGAATCATTATTATTATTATCAGTATCAGTGACAGAATCAGCGTGATACTAGTGTCAGAATCAGCGATAGGAGTGAAGTGGGGTCAGTGTCGTTCCATACGATGAAGCCATCCATGGTGGTGTATGAATATCTATTGAAGGATAACAGGGTACAAAAAGTAAAGCTTTTTGGTGCCGACACTGCTGCGGTACAAGCTTTAATGGGGAGTGGGATTGATGTTATGGTTGGTATTCCAAATGAGATGTTGGCTTCTCTAAGCTCTTCAACTGCTGCTTCTGATTTATGGGTTTGCCAAAATGTCTACAAATATTGTTATGCCTAAAAAGTCACGCCTATATCAACACAATTAATGTCTCTTTGTACTAGCTGTCAGACCCATATCTCCTCAAAGATATTTATACCAGCCATATCTCCTTTGAAGAGAAGAACGGATGAGAGCCTTACATGTGTCAAGACAACTTGCAAAACACTCATTACATTGAGTGTTTTGAGTGTATAAATGGGCACTTCTCTTCACGAAAAAGGAGGTTGAGGCTAAGGCTGAGCAGAAGAGAGTTAGGTATAGATTTGATCTTCATCTTCATTATTTCTCTGTAAACACTGTATTTCTCCATCTTTGTATGCCTTACAGGCAATATCATAGAAATAGTCAGAGCACAATAAAATAACAGTGGACGTAGGATTTGCTTTTGAGCATCCGAACTACTATAAAAACCCCCCTTTGCCAATCTTTTATTTATGTTTCTGCAACATATATAGCCTTAGCTCCATATTCAAATCTCATAGATCCATTCATATGTGTCTTCTGAGTCAGCTCAGCGTTTCCCATGTGTGAGTCGTTAGCGTCCAAAATCAAGCGTCAACAGTTTGGTGGCTCATACAGGTCCGATTCTCAAACCTGCGTCCAAGTTCTTCGATCGTGTGGACAGATCATAGATCGCATGCGTCAGAGTTCTCTGATCACGTGGCTAGGTTATAGATTGCACGCATCAGAGCTCTCCAATCGCGTGGCCAGATCACTGATCGCATGCGTCAGAGCTTCGATCGCGTGGCCAGATCGCAAATTGCATGCGTCAGAGTTCTCCGATCGCGTGGCCAGATCGCAGATCACACATGTCAGAATTCTCCAATTGGGTGGCCAGATCACTGATCGCACGCTCAAATCGCACGCTCAAATCGCGCGTTCAACATCGTTTAGATCACGTGTTCAGATAGCCCAGATCGCGTGGCCAGATCGCTGATTGCACGCTCAGGTCGTCCTGATCCTCGGCTTCAGATCGCTGATCTTTAGCTTCAAATCACGTGTTCAGATCGCTGATAACACGCTGAGATCGCTGATCGCTTGTGCTCTTAAGTCAAGCTCGTTATGTGCTCAGGTCGTGCTCGTTATGTGCTCAAGTTGAGCTCGTTATGCTCTCAGGTCGTGCTCGTTATGTGCTCAGGTCGAGCATAGGTTGAGCTTGTTATGCTCTCAAGTTGAGCTCGTTTTGCTCAGATTGAGCTCGTTATGATCTCAGATTGAGTTGTTTAGCTCAGATTGAGCTTGTTTCTCTTAAGTTGAGTTCGTTTAGCTTAGATTGAGCTTGTTTCTCTTAAGTTGAGTTCGTTTAGCTCAGATTGAGCTCGTTTTACTCTTAAGTTGAGCTCGTTTAGCTTAGATTGAGCTCGTTTTGCTCTCAAGTTGAGCTCGTCTTGCTCAGATTGAGTTCGTTTTGCTTCAAGTTGAGCTCATTTTGCTCAAATTAAGCTCGTTTTGCTTCTAGGTTGAGCTCTTAACAGATTTCAGGTCGAGCTCCTAACAGATCGCAATTAGCTCCTAGCTCTCAGCACTCAATCGCGCCAGGAATAGTTCGAGCTCTTCAGTTCGAGGCTGCAGCAATTCAGATTAAAGACCTTAGTTTCTGAAGCGCGATTACGCACTCCAAAAACTGGGGGGCTTCTGTTATGCCTAAAAAGTCACGCCTATGTCAATACAATTAATGTCTCTTTGTACTAGCTGTTAGACCCATATCTCTTTAAAGATATTTATACCAGCCATATCTCCTTTGAAGAGAAGAACGGATGAGAGCCTTCCATGTGTCAAGGCAACTTGCAAAACACTCATTACATTGAGTGTTTTGAGTATATAAATGGGCACTTCTCTTCACGAAAAAGAAGGTTGAGGCTAAGGCTGAGCAGATGAGAGTTAAACATAGATTTGAGCTTCATCTTCATTATTTCTCTGTAAACACTGTATTTCTCCATCTTTGTATGCCTTACGGGCAGTATCATAGAAATAGTCAGAGCACAATAAAATAACAGTGGACGTAGGATTCGCTTTTGAGCATTCGAACCACTATAAAAACCCTCACTTGCCAATCTTTTATTTATGTTTCTGCAACATATACAGTCTCAGCTCCATATTCAAATCTCATAGATCCATTCACGTGTGTCTCCTGAGTCAGCTCAGCATTTCCCATATGCGAGTCGTTAGCGTCCAAAATCAAGCGTCAACAGATATGTTGTTAAATGCGGTTTTGATATCGGGTACATTGTTCCACTCTTTTTCTTCTTTCAAAATTTTATTTTTAGTTCTTCTCCTTTGTCAAGATTTTTTTTTTTTTTTTTTTTTTTCTTCAATTATGTTAAAAGGGAAAGCATTTCAGAACGATTTAAACCTGCAGCTGCATGGATTTTTTTTTTTTTTTTTTTTTTTTTTTTTATTCTTGTTATCAAATATTACTACTATTGATTTATAAATGTTGAATGTTTTTTCGCATCTCCGAGTTTAGTTGCTATAGAAGTTGATGAAAAGAGAGAAAAGAAGAAACCTTTCATCGACCTATTTTTTTTTATTTGTTTTAAATTTTAAGCTTAGGCTTAAAATTTAGGAGTTAAACGGAAAGATTTTTCAGAGAAACTAATGAATTTGAGGGTCTCTATGGTCCATACTGGGAAAAGTAAAGTTGTTGTTTGGAAAGTAGAAAATTTGATTGTTGTACTATGACAAAGGATAGCTGATAAGGTTTTTAGAATGATCTGGTGTTTACTTGCAAATTTAGGGAATCACTAGTAATTAAGGTTCTATAACAAACAAATTCAAGAGATATTTTCTTGAACAAAATCTGATTCACTTCAATTCTCTTGAAAGATTTGGCAAATTGTCACGAAGCTCAAAGCCACAGTATTTGGCAAGATTAATAATATGGTCTTTGATTGTTAATCACTTTGTTAATTTTTTGGAATTTTTTCTCAAAAGACATATGTGTGCGTTTGGTGTATTATTTTGAATAGGATTTTGGAGATAGTATTGGATAATTGAATATAGGAGTATTACGAGGTAAAATTTAAAAATTTATAAAAAAAACTCCCTAAGTTTGCTAATTTAATAAATAGCCCAACATATAAAATGATAAAAATACCTCCACCACCTGCAGTGCCAGATTCCCGCCACCACCATCAGAATCTGACTGGAAAATTGCTCGTAACGCGTTGTTATGGCCTTTTTTGGGTAGATTCTGGTGTGGTCGTTGACGGCCGAAAAAGGTCAAAACGACGGCCATCTTTGGCTGTCAGCGACGGCCAAAGATATGGCAGTCGTTTTTAATCAACGATGACTATTTCTTTGGCTGTCGCTGACGGTCAGATCTAGCCTTTTTCGACCAGATCCACCACGAATTTGGCTAGAAAAGGCTAGATCAGTGAATTATCGGCCAGTTTTGGTCAGTAATTCACTGTTGTGGTAGATTTTGGCTACCACCGACGGTGGTTGACGGAATTTGGCAAGTATGGGTCATAGAGGTATTTTTGTTAATTTTTAAACCTTTTTTTAGGAGGTATTTATTAAAATTAATAATCTTATAGGGTCTAAACATAATTAAAAAAATAGAATAATATTTCTAGAATAATGTACCAAATATTATTTGGAGAATAGGAATATGCGTTGAAATAATAAGCCAAACATGCCTAGTTTCTCTTTTTAACAACTCTTATGTGCTAGTTTTTCGCTGTGTTTGAATTTCCGATAGTCTATGCAGCTGAGATCTGTCCTACTGCCTCAACAATTAGTTATCGTGTCTAATGAAAGCTATGGGCTATGGGTTCCTATGCCACTCTTCATAGCAAGCTGCTTGCACAGTTCCTCATTCTAGAATGTACACGACACCGTTAATATATGTTATCGGCGTTTTGCCTGTATTCAATAGGTTATTTCCTTAACAATAATATTGACGAGTAAATCAGAATTGCTTCCTTGTATTTTGTGTCTCTCTGAGACTGCCACCAACCTATGTCTTTCATTAGCTTTGGTTGTTAACAGCAGATGATCTTACTCCATCTTGATGATTAATTTTAGCCAAAGTCTCTAATCTTGTGTGTGTATATATATTCTTGCTCCAATCATGGCTGCTAAATTAAGCGAAGATCTCCAGGATTGATTTTTTTGTGTGTGTGTGTGTGTGAGAGAGAGAGACAGAGAGATTTGATAAAAGATGTGCTAGCAGTTCATCAGATGCTTTATTTGTCTAGGTTTGCTGCAGTTCTATGTCGTAATTCTCCTTGTTAGCGAGATTTGACAACCAGAGTCTTCAATTAAATCAGGCAAATTATTGAGCCATATAGCGCTTCTCAATTTAAAATTCTATCAACAGGGAAATTTCATTAATAGTTTGACACAAGCATATATTTATGCGAATGTCTAGTAGAAAATGTAAAATACTGAATCAACAATACTTGAAATATCTATTATTTGCTTTATATACTATGCTATCTATTCATACTTGTGCGGTGACAGGTATGTTGCTGTGGGAAATAAGCCTTTCCTCTCAAGTTGCTCAGGTCAATATCAGTCTTACGTTCTACATGCTCTGCTCAATCTACGACAGTCCTTGGCTAGAGCAAATCTTGCTGGCTGTGTGAAGTTGGTGGTCCCTTTCAATGCCGATGCCTGCAAGTCCTCTCTTCCTTCTCAAGGGGCATTTTGGCCTGAATGACACAAATTAGATCTCAACTTGTTCAATTCCTCAACTCAAATGGTTCTCATCCGCAGCACATTGTGCTGATCGCAGGGGTAGGCTTCTCTTTCTTCTGTAGGTGGAAAATTGTGTAATCATGCTAAACTTCTGATGGTGATTAGAGAAAATTGTTATGAGCTTGTCAGCAATGTACTTTTTGTGAAGGGTGTAATATATTAATGTGTTGGTTGTAGTCTGCTGCAAAGATGATTTGTGTATTTCACATCTCTATTCTGCATCTCCTTTTATGTGTATTATGTTTGTTGGCCCCCAGTTACTGGGATTAAGGCTTAGTTCACTTTGCTTGTTTGCAGGGTCCTCTGAACCAGGAAGTGAAGATATGGGCCTCTGCAGAGGAGGAGGGCTGGTTGTTGCCCAGTGATGTTGAATCATGGAAGTGTACTCAGACTTTGGACTTAAAGAGTTCTGCTGAACCCAGGCTTGAGGATGCATTCTTTAATCAAGTTGTAGCACTGAACCGTGCAGGCTTGTTTTTATTGGCAAATGCCAAGAAGAATGCTATTTATGCTGTACACATAGACTATGGGGCCAATCCAGCCTCAACCCGCATGGATTACATTGCTGAATTTACTGCTACAATGCCTATTTTGAGTCTTACTAGAACCAGTGATGGTCTACCGATGGAGAACATATTGTTCAGGTTTCCTGTGTCCAAACACAAGCTATTCAGCAGTATGCTTTAGATCTTTCCCAGTGCCTGCCACCAGCTTTGGAGAAAACAGACTCCAGTGCTGCTTGTGATGCTGCTAATTCCGATGGTTCTGCTATTCTGGAATCATCTCATGGAAGCATATCTGCTGACTTGCTTATGGCTACGACGAATTTGATACCACCTATACTTTCAAGCAGCTCTGAGAGAGTACCTGTAGCTAGCCGTTCTGAAAGTTTTCCTTCTTAAGTCATTACTGGTTTGCCTGAAAATTCTTCAAGTGCAGAGGCAAAGCCAAGTGCTTTACCATCTAATAGTAATACTGAAAATATACACACTGCATCTCCTCCGCCTCCTTTGAGTCCAAGGTTATCTCGTAAATCATCTGGTTTAAGAAGTCCATCAATTAGCTATGAGCCTTGTCCCCCAGCAAGTGAGCTTGGTGGTGACCAGTCTGTTACTGATTATTCAGATGACTATAGAGCAAATGCTGCCAAAGAAAACGTGGCTGATGTGCCTTCATCAGGAGACAATATGTGGAAGGTTGATAGAAGTATTGCACAAAATGATATTTCTATGGTTCCAGATCCTCCTGTTGTTTTTAAGCAGCCAACCCATCTGGTAACTCTATCCGAGATTTTATCAACCGTTGCCTCGTCCTCTGAAAATTCTCAGTTTGGTCAGCGCATGAATGCTGGAGCCTCATCCTCAAATCTTATACTTTCAGTGTTCCCTTTACCTTCTAGTTCTTCAGATGTGTCCTCCTCCGAATGGGTTTTAGATTCTGGAGCATCACACCATATGTCTCATGATTTAAAATGCTTTGTTTCCTTGCATCCACCATCATCTTCGCTTATCGTGGCTGTTAGTGGCCCTTAAATAGCAACAAAAGCAGTTGGTTCTGTGAAAACAGATAAATTATCTCTTTTTGATGTTTACTACCATCCTGATCTCAAAGTGAACCTTGTCTCTGTTAGTCAATTGTTTGATTCTGGTTACTTAGTCTCTTTCACTCGTACCACTTGTCTTGTGTGGGATCCGCAGTACCAGAAGCAGATTGGGAAAGGTTGTAGGCTACGGGGATTATATGTTTTGGATGAGCTGAGATTACCGATGCCTGAAGCTGCCAATAGCTTTCCACAAGTCCCTTCCACTACAGGGGTTTCTCAGAAAGTCCATGATCTCTCTGGGACATTCTCTTCTCCCTCTCCTCCCTTGGATTATCCTAGGGCTGGTCCACGTAAGCAAATCTTCTATGGCCCCAAAACTACCCGGGCTGCTGTTGTTACATGTGGTGGACTGTGTCCTGGGATCAACACTGTGATTAAGGAACTAGTGGTGGGGTTGTGGGAGCTGTATGGTGTGAGACAAATTTATGGGATTCAAGCTGGGTACAGAGGGTTTTATTCCAGGGAGCTTGTGGAGTTGAGTCCTAAGATGGTGCATGGATGGCATAAGAGAGGTGGCACTGTGCTCGAGACCTCTAGGGGTGGTTTTGATCTCAATAAGATTGTTGATGCTATTCAACACCATGGATTTAATCAGGTACCGATTACCTTTACTTTCTGCTTAATGTGTTTTACTTTGTTGCATAGTCAGTATTGTCCCTCTAACTTTCTTTTTTCTTTTCTTTTTCTGAGTAAAAGAATGTTGATACCATTAAGAAACCTCAATGGAGTAAAGGTTATTTCTAATAGAATTATCAGCTGGCGTGTGTATCAAAATGCAAGGTTAGTTTATGCTAATATTGGTGGAGGGTCTGCCCCTGGCCTTTGGTTCCAATTATCTTGTCTTGCACTGAGTACGGTAGAAAGAATGACTTTGTTTCATGTAGTTATTATGGCTCCTTTTTCGCCTGCGTTGTGTAATAATCAGATTCGTTGAAAAAGTCTCAAGTGCTTTCTTCAAGAACTGAAAACTGGTTGAAATTGATGATCCCACTACTTGATATTTGTTGCATGAACTATCCGCTGCTTCTCAACTCTTGATTAAATACTATATGCATGCTAGAGAATTGAATCACAAACGCAGCTTTGGTGGATGTAATGCCCTTTTATCTCTTACTCATGTTTTCATTGTAATGGCAATGCTAATTGAATATTTCTGTATGCTGCATTCCAAACACGTGAGCAGGTTTACATCATAGGTGGGGATGGCACCATGCGTGGAGCTGTAGAGATTTTTAATGAAATCCAACAACGGAAACTGCATGTTGGAGTTGTTGGAATTCCAAAAACGGTTGACAACGATGTAGGAATTTTTGATAGATCATTTGGGTTCCAGACAGCAGTAGAAATGGCTCAGCAAGCAATCAGTGCTGCTCATGTGGAGGCAGAGAATGCAGTTAATGGAATTGGCCTGGTGAAGCTAATGGGCCAAAGCACAGGACAGATAGCCTTCCATGCAACATTGAGCAGCCCTGATGTGGATTGCTGTCTAGTTCCTGAAACTGAATTTTACTTGGAAGGGAAAGGAGGGCTGTTTGAGTTTCTTGAAAACCGGCTGAAAGAGAATGGGCATGCCGTAGTGGTTGTAACAGAGGGAGCTGAGCAGGATATGATACCGCGAACTGATGCCAGAAAGAAGAGAGGGATGAATCTGGAAACTTGGTTTTCTTAGATGTTGGTAGCTGGATGAAGTCAGAGCTAAAGAAGTGGTGGGACAGAGACCACCCAGATGAGTTGTTTACAGTGAAGTACATGGATCCTACATATATGATACGTGCAGTTCCCGCAAATGCTACGGATAACCTATATTGTACACTACTAGCACATTCGTCCATTCATGGTGTTATGGCAGGATATACTGGGTTTGTGTGTGGTCCTATTAATGGCAACTATGCATATATTCCATTGGAAGAGGTGGCACAGGCTAAGCATGAAGTTAATACAAGGGACCATAAATGGACATGGGTGAGATCTGTGACCAATAAGACTGATTTTGGGAAGAGCTAAATTAATGTTTGAGCTTACAACAATCCAAGGCCAAGAACTTTCCTCTGTAAATGCATCTGGGTTTGCCAGTGCAGTTTCTTGTTTGTTGATAATAAGAAATTGTGATTATTGAGTTGTATCACAATATGTCAGGACTTAAAAAGGGCATATTTTGATGCCAATCCAGTATAGTTGGGCTTATGTTGCTTGTTGCATTCTTCAATGTTAATATACTGCTGTTAAGCACGGATACAGTTAGTTAATAAAATGTATGTTATGTTTTGCTTTCATTCACAATAAAATATATATTTGTTAACGTGTCAATGTGAATGGAGCCAAATCTAGCTAACGCTTTAACGCCGAACTATATGCCAGATATATTCTAAATGATAGCATCCTGGAAGAATATGAAATTGTTACCATCTTTTGAGCAGTGGTGGATGATTATGATAATTTTGTTTATGTATAAGAATGATTGATGAGATTGGTGCTGGGGCCATGGCATTCAGATCATGTGGTTTATGAATCTTTACAAAAGCGCAATGTTATACGTGGAGAAAGATAGAGCAAAGTCGGTAGAAATTGTCATCATGTGCACTGAATTATTAATACAGTACAGTATCTGAAATATCTATTTAATAAGATAAGGTTGATAAATAAAGTTCTCTTTGGCTGAGGAATCAGTAATCACCGAAGACCTTTCCTCGTTTGCTGTATGTGGGATTGCCTATAGTCTCGCTCTTGCTGCTTTGTATTAAAAATAATAATAAACATAGATAAGCCTAATGCTTTGTATTCTGTCAATTTATGCCACACAGACTGCGATTGCTAGGAATCCTATCTTCTTTGCGTGGCCTTATGTCTACTTTTACAAGTTTGAAAAGCTAAAAAAGCAAGCCAATAAGGTGTAGTGACCAACTTTAACCAGAAACTACCTTACCTATTTATACTGTATGTGGAAAATATGCTGCTTGTCTAGCTTTCAATTTTCATTATGGGAATGGGACATGCAAATCTTGAAAACAACATTTTTTTTACCAAACTATTATTTTAATAAATTGGGCATCTAGAATATGATGATTGAACATCATTGCTTCAAAATTACATTCTAAACATGTTTCAACTTTCAAAGGATAAATCATTGTGTTAAAACACCACTAGCCGACGATATTTGTTGTCGGCCCAGCTTTGAAAGGTGACTGTATAGTTGGAGTTGGAGGGTATTTAAGTTGTTGTGTAGGATTAACTTGAAGCTACTTTTTATCAATTAATAATGCTAATCCTTGTCAGGTTATAACACTTTACTTTTTTAGCGGTTATCACACTCTTCTTATTATTAGTGGATGTTCTACTCCTGCAGATGCCTAGCTCTCTGATTGAGAAGAGTGAGTCCTTCTTTATGAAACAACAACAAAGTCATTAGTTTGACAGGGACAAAATGCCACACCCACCAAGAATCAGAGCAGCTCAAATCCGTGTTATTTTAGTGGTGGTATTATTATTATTATCAGTATCAGTGACAGAATCAGCGATAGGAGTGAACTGGGGGTCAGTATCGTTCCATAGGCTTAAGCCATCCACAGTGGTGGATCTATTGAAGGATAACAAGATACAAAAAGTGAAGCTTTTTGATGCTGACCCTGATGCGTTAAAGGCTTTAATGGGGAGTGGGATTCAGGTGATGGTTGGTATTCCAAATGAGATGTTGGCTCCTCTAAGCTCTTCAACTGCTGCTTCTGATTTATGGGTTCGCCAGAATGTCTCCAGATATGTTGTTAAAGGCGGTGTTGATATCAGGTACATTGTTCCACTCCTTTTCTTCTTTCAAATTTTTATTTTCAGTTCTTCTCCTTTGTCAAGGATTTGTTTTTTTATTTTGTTATCAAATATTACTATTATTGATTTAAAATGTGAATGTTTTTCGCATTCTTAGTTTATTCTTTTGATTTCGTTAAAAAGGCTTAAAATATAGGAGTTAACGGAAAGATTTTTCTAAGAAACTAATGAATTTGAGGGTCTCAATCGTCCATATTGAGAAAAGCAAAGTTGTTGCTTGGAAAGTAGAAAATTTTTATTGTTATAATTATACTATGACAAGGATAGCTGATGAGTTTTGAATGGTCTGTATTTACTTGCAAATTTAGGGAGTCACTAGTATTAAGGTACTATAACAAACAAATTCAAGGGAATTTCTTGAACAAAATTGATTCACTTCAATTCTCTTGAAAATTTGGCAAATTGTCACGAAGCTCAAAACCACAGTATTTGGCAAGATTAATATATGGTCTTTGATTGTTAATCATTTTGTTAATTTTCTGGAATTTTTTTTTTCTCAAAAGACATAGTTTTCTCTTTAACTACTCTATTGTGTAGTTTTTCGCTGTGTTTGAATTTCTGATAGTCTATGCAGCTGAGATCTGTCCTACTTCCTCAACAATTAATTATCTTGTCTAATGAAAGCTATGGGTTCCTATGCCACTCTTCATAGCAAGCTGCTTGCACCGTCTCATTAGAATGTACACGACACCGTTAATATATGGTATCAGCATTTTGCCTGTCTTCACTAAGTTATTTCCATACAATAATGATGAAGAGTAAATCAGAATTGCTTCATTGTATATAGTGCCTCTCTGAGACTGCACCACCCTAAGTCTTTCATTAGCTTTGTTTGTTAACAGCAGATGATCTTACTCCATCTTGATCTTAATTTTAGCCAAAATTCTCATCTGTGGTGTATATATATATTTACTCCAATCAGATTGCTAAATAAGCCAAGATCTCTAGGATTGATTTTGTGTGTGTGTGTGTGTGAGAGAGAGAGAGAGATTCTGATAAAAGATGTGTTAGTAGTTCATTAGATTCTTTTATTTGTCTAGGTTTGCTGTGGTTCTATGTCGTAACTCTCCTTGTTAGTGAGATTTGACAGGACTCTTTAATTAAATCAGGCAAATTATTGAGCCATATGGCGCTTTTCAATTTAAAAGTCTATCAACAAGGAAAATTCTTTAATAGTTTGACACAAGCATATATTTATGCAAATATCTAGTAGAAAATGTAAAATACTGAATCAACAATACTTGAAATATGCTATTATTTGGTTTATATACTATGCTATCTAATCATACTTATACGGTGACAGGTATGTTGCTGTGGGAAATGAGCCTTTCCTCACAAGTTACTCAGGTCAATTTCAGTCGTATGTTGTACCTGCTCTGCTCAATCTACAACAGTCCTTGGCTAGAGCAAATCTTGCTGGCTACGTGAAGCTGGTGGTCCCTTGCAATGCTGATGCCTACGAGTCCTCTCTTCCTTCTCAAGGAGCATTTCGTCCTGAACTGACACAAATTATGACTCAACTTGTTCAATTCCTCAATTCAAATGGTTCTCCATTTGTAGTCAATATCTACCCATTTCTGAGCCTTTATGGGAACTCAGATTTTCCTCAAGACTATGCGTTTTTTGAGGGCACTAGCCATGCTATTACTGATGGACCCAACGTTTACTCTAATGCATTTGATGGAAATTTTGACACTTTGGTTGCAGCGCTCAACAAAATGGGATATGGTCAGATGCCTATAGTTATTGGGGAGATAGGTTGGCCAACAGATGGAGCCTCCAGTGCAAATCTCACTGCAGCAAGAACTTTCAACCAAGGCTTGATCAATCATGTCCTAAGTAACAAAGGAACTCCTCTTAGGCCAGGCGCCCCTCCCATGGATATTTATCTTTTCAGTTTACTTGATGAAGGGGCCAAGAGTGTACTCCCAGGAAACTTTGAGAGACATTGGGGGATTTTCTCCTTTGATGGCCAGGCTAAGTATCCACTAAACCTTGGTTTGGGCAATAAATTATTGAAGAATGCCAGAAATGTCCAGTACCTACCATCTAGGTGGTGTGTGGCAAACCCCTCTCACGATCTGTCTGATTTGGCAAACCACATGAAACTTGCTTGCAGTGTAGCTGACTGCACGACACTCAACTATGGCGGATCATGCAATGGAATTGGGGCAAAGGGGAATGTATCATATGCATTTAACAGTTACTATCAGCTACAAATGCAGAATGAACGAAGCTGTGATTTTGATGGTCTTGGTATGATCACTTTCCTGGACCCTTCGGTAGGTGAATGTCGGTTTCTTGTTGGTGTAACCGATACTACTTCATCAGGTTTTGCACCGTATGAGAGATGGATCATTTTTTATGTTTTGATAGTGTGGTTCTTTATGGTTTGAGTCTGAGGTTTAGATTAGGTGAAATAATACCATAGTTTAGGAATACTCCTAATTATTATTTAAGGTTATTCTAGCCATTATGTGATTGTATACCGAGTACACTTATGTAGGAAATAATCCAATCTTAGATTTTTATATTCATTATCACTCATCTTTATATTTTAAGTGATGTTATGTGGATAAGCATGTCCACTGGATCTAAAAGGTGCTTTCTGTTTCAAAAAAACTGAATTTTGTGGTCTTGTCTCTAAGATCAATTCTGTCAACCTCACACAATTACACAATGGTTGGACATTAACTGGTTCAGATTATAGAATCTGCTGCTAACTTTGTTTACCAGTAATTACAATAGCATTGATCATAAACGGACAATAAAAATCAAAATCAGATAGAATCATGCTGTTATTCAGATTCCTATTTGCAGAAATATGTACAAACATTCTGAACAGCAAATGGTAATTTAAGGGAGCCAAGCATGCTATCCCACAACACCTCATAAACTGGTTGGTTTCACAGCTTTATGCAAATCAATTATTCATATAATCTTATCCTAGTGGTTATACGGATTTGACAAGTTGGGCAAAAACTTAAATCATGTCCACAATCATAGCATGTCTGCAAAAGATTTACTATACAAATCAGAAAGAACAAACAGGGAGATAAGAATAACAAAATTTTCAATTTGATTTCAGATTACCTGGTGTCCACATCCAAATGCAAGATCTTTCGTCCTCCAGAGACACACAGAACATTCCTGTAAAGCATGGTAGATCTATCAAGAATTTGTATTGAATGTTGCATTGTTGCTACCAGTCCTCTTCATTACAAATATTAAAGAACTGAAGATCTACCCTGTTCTGTGAAGAATGTTGTGTACGTGTTGGTGGAGCATAATGATGTGCAGGAGTTGGTGGAGCATATTGATGTGTAGGAGTTGGAGGAGCATAATGTTGTGTAGGAGTTGGAGGAGCATAAGGATATCCCATTCTTTGTTCATTGCTGCTTGACTGTTGGTAATTCAGATTTGAATTCAATAAGCTGTTTTCTAGAACTGAAGGAGGAAGAGGGAACCTCCCAGGATTTCCTCTTCGGCGACTGCACATGATAATAAAGTAGTAAACATCAATAACCGATTATACTAAGCCATAGTTAATGTGCATGCCATGGAAAATTACCCTAAAAGTTGGAGGTCTATTGTAGCTTTGTATTGTAATGGTATTTCCATCAGTGCACTCAAAGCAAAGTCTGTCTCCTTCTTGGACATGAGAATGTGTTTGGACATAAGTTCTGTGAAATTTACAAACTACATGGAACCAAAAACCAGTGTGTGAAAATCTAGTTTATTCTGAATTATTTTTCACTAGTTACCCAATTCTGTATATTAACCTGGAAATTGTCAAAAGCTCGAGCAGGAATGTTGTTATCATATTTGTGCATCATGTCCCATGGACCATCACCAACTCCAACCAAAACTATTGACAATGGATAGTCACTGCAAGAATAAAGACAGGTCTTTAGATTGTGATAAAGATAAATTACCTGATGTTAAAACAATATAAGAGTTTCTGTTATGTAACCACCTTGCTTTCACAATAGCATTAATTGTGTTTTGCTCTTGAGGACTCAACTGGCTATAGCCTGTATCTACACTTCTCGTGACCTTGCATAACATGTTAAATAAAGAGCCTGAAAAGATGACTAAGAGAGTAAACAGACTCAAAGAATTTCGATGAATGTTTTTCATTGAAAAGGGAAGAAGTTAGAGAAGTGAGATAAGCAAACTACCTGGCCATCAGCAATGATCATGAGAACATGATATTGACCACCACTATTGTCCACAATTCTAATAGCAGCTTCTATAATTGGGGCAAAAGATGTTGGTCCTGTCATAATCGAGCAGAGGTAATTTGTTAACTGCAATTAATCTAATGAAAGGTTAATGAAATGCAAGTTAAATGAATCGTTTAATCCGATTACCAGCCAAAATAATGTGTGGAACTATTTCTTTGTAACGTCGGAGTACTTCCTCAAAACCATTACAAGGCCTATCATCTGGATAGAAACTAAAAACCTCTTGATCACGTGTAGTAGCTACAAGTTAAAAAAAAAAAAAATGAAATTAATTTAATCTTCCATGTAATTTAGGATTGAAGCCTGAATGTAAAATACAAAAATAAATGAAAAATAGTACTGACCATCACCAAAGCCATAACAAGGTAGGAGGTTATCCTCATCAAAAGCTGAAAGAGTTTTTCCAATGATTGATATAGCTTGTTCGTATGGATTTGGAGAAGCACCTAGGTGATGCAGACTCTTATGGTGGAAGGATCGAGCACCTGTTCACTCATTGCTCTTTGTGAAGTCAATACCCACAATAAGATTGGAAGATTCTAAACCAGCTTGGGCAAGAGCTAGCATCACCTGCATAAAACAAAATTGATTTGTTTCTAGAATCTATCAGGACAATACAAGAAACAGCGGATAAGCTCAACCAATCCATTACGAGCATAGTATATAGGAAAACATTTAAAATTTACAGACCCAAAATGCCTAACCATAGCAAGTTCGATTTGCTTGGTCATAATAAATGACAAAGAAAGTATATATATATATATATATATATTTAAAGTTTATAAAAACACATAGCATACATGTGGTTAAACAATGCATAAGCATAATACCTGATCTAGAGAGTGGTAATTATAGCCAATTCCTGAATACCTTGAAGGCACCTGCTGTTTTCTATCGTAATCATCATAGTTTTTTGAATAGTAGGAGTACCGGGAAGAGCATGAAATTGATGGACAATAATTATGTGAGTTATTGTATAAATAATTGTCCTGATGACTTTGATGTCTGGACTGCTTGCCTCCCATAATCAACTTCCAATTCGTCGTAAATTTTGATAGCTTTTTCTGTCAATGAAAAAAGTCTTCCTCCAATGGGAACCTTCAAATTTAGGCAGAAATTATAATGACTCAACTGGAAACACACATAACAAAATCCCCTGTACAGCATACAAACAAATCATACCAAAAGACATATATACTGAGTTGATGTATTCTTTCTGACTGTGGAAACTGTTTTTCTATAATAGAAAAAGCCACAATGACTTAAAAAAAGAAATGTCAACTTGAAGTAATATTATTTAAGAAACCAACAAGAACTTACACTGCTATATACTTACTATTATCAGCTCACCTTCACGGAAGTTACGCAGACAATGACATACCACATGGACAATCCTCAGCAGGAACCTACTGAGAAATTTTTAGTCCATGCAACAAAAAATCTGAGTAGTAACTTCAAAGAAATTTCAGAATGAATATATGTAAATTACTTAATTTGCTGAGTACATGTCAGACGATGACTCTATACATTAGAATAATCAAAGTAAAATGAAAGAACTGGGTCTAATGGAATAATATCAATCGCAACTGAAATTCAACCACCTAACTCAAGAAATTAACAAAAAAGTCAGCTTCATTAGATGAAACTTGGTAGAGCAGTTAATAAAATAATACAAGGTTTGTATTTCGAATACGTGTTGGTTTCGATCAAGTGGTTTTCCAGCATAGTTGGTATAAAAATTACAGATAACATTATTTCATTGGTGAGTCTTCGCATTGTGGTTGGATGGTCATGAGTCTGATGACGCTTTAGATATTTCGTCACTATATTCATCATGGGTTGTCTTTAATAAACTGGAAATTAATTATAGATTGCGTAATTATATTGGAATGAAGTCGAGGAAAATTAAAGAAGTGCGTTCATCCAGAAGGAAAAACTGGTGACAACTAATGCCTTATATCTTTAGAATTGAATCGGATCAATTTTTGATCTCGAAGAAAAATGTGATTCAAACCGATCGAAGATCCATAAACAAACGTCACAGGTTTAAACCAATGAGGATAGAGAGCAATAAAATTAAAGCCACAAGGCATCCTAAAACATAATTAATGGTTGGAGAAGTTATTGTAATAGGATCCTCACTGTCTGTGTTTCTCACAGCTTTAGATTTAGCTTTCATATCATAAGTAATGGTTGCCAATTCACTAATCTGCTTCTCTAGAGCCGTATTCTTTTCCCTCAGCGATAACATGGCCTCTTCTTGTTTCTTCATTACCTGCAATTAATAACGCACCATTTCACTCAAATACACATATATAGTAGAACAAAATTAAAATATATCTAAAGTCAATGAAAATCAACTAAACGTACTTGATGCAGAACTTGGACAAGAGCCTTAAATTCATGAACTTCATTTTCATTGTCATGGCCAGATTGCTCATTATTGGCGTTGACGACCTGTGTACACATATTAGGTGAAACTTTAATATACCAAATTAATTAATATACAGAAAGACTTACGCAGTACCAAGTACCAGTGGTTGAAGTTGAAGAGGAGGAGGTGATTTTGTGGGGGTATTGTTGTATTGCATGGTTTGCGCCCTTGACTCAAACCTGGAGACAGCTGCTTTAAATTCACGAATTTTTGACGCCACCTATATATACGTATTCTCATTCTCTTCAATATTTGGTTTTATTCCATGCATGTATTATTGTAAGCAAACACACAAATTAATTAATCATATCATAATAAGCGATTCTGAACCTGATTAGTGCGCAGCAGAGGTTCGGTAAGAGGACGAAGTCGAGTATATGTATTTGTTGATTTTCCACCGCCCATTGGCATGCTAGCTGTATCCTAGGATTAGAAATCAAAATCAATGACTATGAAACGCCCTTGTAAATGTACAAGGAAATTCACAACCGGGAAGTTTCTTATTGCTCTTAACGCACCGTTAGTATGAGGCAGTTGCTGGGATTTTCCCACACTGCAATCCAAAATCTTCACGTTCTGCAAACAACCGATTACTGCTACTCTCCAGCTTTATTAGAATTTATTTCCTATATATTCGGAGATGACTTTTATTTCTAGTAGAACTCAGATTTCGTTTTCAGTTAGGATTTGAGCCCAGCTCAATTTTATAATTCGGATTTTGAATATAAATTCCTCTGTAAAGGCTTATCCTATTTCTTTGGCATGTCTTTAATTGCAAAATGTTTTTATAATACAGAGTGAATTCTCTTATCATTTGAAAGACGTAAACAAGAAGCAAGTAATCTATTTCTTGATATATAGAGAACAGGATGCCATTCCCAAAATCCATTATGGAATCCAAGTACCATACGTCTTACCATTGAATATAAACACACCTAATTATGCGATGCTCGAACTTCAACAACGCTGGAATTATATATACTTTGATGATGCTGGCGAATGGCACCATTCCATCACTGTAATATTAAGTTGTCAAAATAATTAGCCAAAAGGCCAGCCTTGATCATTCTTTATGAGCTTAGGATACATTATTTTGACTTCTTTGGTTGAAAACTCATAGACGATTGTAGGAAAGCATAAAACTTCAACGGACATTAAATTACTTGCAAGAAGAGGTTGGTACATGGCATTCATACAAAGTCTCAGCCTTTTATTTGATAACATAATCTCACATGCATATTATATTACTTGCCATTCAGAGAGTACTTGGGCGAGGGAGTGAGTGGCCTGAACTTATAAGTGCGGCAATCTCCAAGACGAAAGGAGACATCGGATTGGTTACCTTGAGCTCTTTTGTTGGTATAACCTGGATAGTCTTCTTTGCAGAAGGGCACAGCTTCATGTAAAATTAGGCCTATCTTCTCTGCTTTCTTCACTAATTCCCATTTGTTGTAAGGATCACCTTCCTTGTGAGACACATGAATCTCTCCTTTCCCCTCTTTCAGAAGAAGCTTAGCATTCCTCAAAAATTCCTTTACCAATCCCTTGTTCAACCTATTGTAGTACCATCAAATCCACATCAGTTCATGTTTCAGAAGAAGATTTTATTTTATTTTTATCAACAGAGAAATGTGAATATAATTCATGTTTGTAAATAAATCAATCAATATTTAAATGGTAGCTTCCCAGAATGCAATGGTGGTGTATATATAAACATTAAACAGTAATATATAAAGCAAAACAAAGTAAAGGTAGTAAAAGTGTAAGGAATGACATAACTGGATCTGGCAATAGCTATTCTCACGGAAAATGAAACCAACATGAGGGAAGTTGTAAACGATCCGGTCAAACTTCTGTGTCCTGAGGAAGTAATGTTGACTCATCTGCTTAGCATCCACTCCGTACAACACCAAACATCCTCTCTCCTCCAGTTCTCTTAAATTCCCCAATCCGTTACTGTACTTTCTTCCTATGTTCTCTGAACTCAATCCATCCAATCCAATCCAATCAAATATAAATCTAAATATATTTCAAAAACAATCTGAACTAGTTAATTTATTACCTTGAGTATCAAGAGAAGTGGCAACCATGTTGTGGGCGGCACCGAATTCTCTGGCTAAGCAAAGAGAGAAAGAGAAGTCTCCTTCTCCTACCAACAAGATTCTGTGCTTTGATGAGTAGTGCTTTCTCCATTTTTCTTCTTCTTCTTCTTCTTCTTCTTCATCCTCCTCATCAGTAGTTTCATAGTACTCATCCTCTTCCACTAAATCCATGTTTTCTTTTCCTTTACCCATTAAATTATTTTTTCTGTCTAACCCAACTAGATCAATCCTTCTAAAGTCCGTTCATCATTCCCTCTCACAAAAAGCAGGAGTCATACATACATACCTGCCTTCATTTATGATTATTCTACACTCCTATGCATAATTATAATGACATTTTAACCCCTTGCCCTCCATCACTAAGCAACTCAACTGTTTATGTTAAAGACTAAAGTTGATTAAAAAGGTGGTTGATGGACAATTTTTATCTTTTAAATATTCGATAAATTTGCTTCAATTCTTTTCTCATTGGGAACCGGCCTCACATCGTCCAACATGGGTCCATCTGTTTCATACTTTTACTTAGAGCCACTCAGAAGGTAGAGTGAGTGTATCACAGTAACATGTCGAATACACTTATACACATCTTAGATGGATCAATGATGCTTTAATTTAATGTAATCCAACCGTCTCATTTATTGGCTAGATATTCAAGAGAGAAAGAAGAGTTCTCCAATAAAGAAATCATTTAATTTTCTTAAATTACAAAATCCCATTTATAATCTATTCATAAATCTAAAAAACCTTTCAGATAACTTAATCAAACTCTTACCATAGGGTTTATTTTGTGAAATTAACACCACTCAAAATGTTTCATGAATCGTGTTTACCTCCAAGAGCAAACTATTCTTTATATCGAGGGAATACAAAGGCTAGCAGCCAACAAACCATTTATCTGTATGTAGAGATATGATTATGCTACTTCTATTAACTAGTAAGTAAAACTCCAGCAATATTATTCTATTCGAAGTATCAAGTCCTGAAATAAATGTAATGTAATGTTTTGCTCAACAAAAAAATACTCATTAAGCTTGAGTATGGTAATTACATGTTCTTACGGGAATTCTATGTGTCACATCATTAGTTCAGAAAATAGATCGATACACAAGCTTAACTGCAATTACTCTTAAGTACTACATAGTTCGGAAATAGGGGCAGATGCAACCGCCTGTCTAGCTAGCCAAAGCTTCATCAAGGATGGTGGCATCTTCACCAACCAGGTCCAGGTCCCAAACAAAAGAGTAACCTGCATTTGACTTATGTACCATCATAGTTCGAAAGAGCAAGACATAGATCCCAACTCAAATAGAAAATTAAGTGATGTATATATTACCCAAAATCTCTCTGTTAGGCTTCATGTCAACTTCTTCAAGTTAGCTAGCTCAATTAATACATCTTTGAGGGGACCACGGAGTGTACTTCTCTTAGCCTGGAAGAATAAGTAACTTATATAAATCACAATTCTCCATAGCATCAAGAGAACTGTCCATTTGAAGCAAGATGACAAGCTCATATGGCAGCTTTATGGAGACAAAAGAAACGGAAAACACAAACGATAATTCAACCAAAAGGAAATGAACATTGGGTTACAATCCAAATTCTTGAAACTTCAACAGAAAAATTAAGGGCCAAGAACACAACATACAACTCATAAGAAGATTCTTGCAAGGCAGAAATTGACAGAAAATGAATCCCATTAACCCTAATCTCACCTTACCTTAAATTAATTCTCCCAGAGCAAAATAAATAAATAAAGATGCCACGCTGACGAATGAGTTTTAAGCCCCAAGAAATGTGAATGATAAAATTACATCACATGCCTTTACCTTCTAAAAAAGTGGTCAATAAAAACCAGCAAACTAAATTGAGAATATCTGGCTTGAGATATGGCACTTAGCATCTCCAAAATTATGAAACAACAAAAAATGATTACGTTTATTGTCCAATTATTAGTCAAAAATATAAAATTTTTCACAAGGACAAAATGATATGTGAGATAACTTTCACTAGCAAGCAAGCAAATAAAAGATTTTTCAGCTTCATATCATCTACACTTCATTTAAAAAAAAAAAAATAAATAAATAAAAAAATCTTGGTTTCTTCATAGAAACCAGGTGTAGCAAACAATTTCATAATACATCAAAAAAGCTACAGTCCCAAACGAGTCATACCTTCAAGGATGGAACAAGAGCAAATGTTTCCTCAATAGTTTCAGGACAAATGTTGGCAATCACACATATCTGCAGCCAAACATTGAAAATCAAGAGAGCTCCATGACTTAGAATAAAACAACTGCTTAGAATAATACCTCGCTGTCAGTGACACCATGTTCCATAAGAGGGCTGATAAGTGAGTTAATAGTCCAACAACATGAGACAAGCATTTAAATAAAGGTTCTAGAAAGAAATAAAAATCAAGGATACTCAAGAAGTTTTCTGACAGCCTGGGGATCTGTATAATGGCTACCACTTTTGGCATACAGCAGTCCCCTGTCAAATGATCTGGAAAAAGGAAATATATTACATCACTTCATAAAAGTCCTAATTTATAATAGAACTTTCGAAAGTGCTACTTACACGGGGATTTTAATGGTGGGATCTGCTGATAATAGAACCATCTGTTCCTGGATTCCCTCTAAAATATATGCAGCCTCACAGTCCATCAGGCATTTGGCATTTTTTGGAAGCTCTGCAATATAGGAAATCATGACATCGACATAGTGTTGCCCTGAGGCCATTTCCCAGCATATGATAATCCTTTAGATATTAAATTTAAAACCGATAGACAATGCACAGTCTACACATGTTATAACAGGCTATTTCCCAACCAAGTCATGCACTGGCATGGAGACAAAAATGAGACCATTTTCTGCCTCATCTCAACCACAACCAAAAATATCCACACAGCATAAAGCCTTAAAAATATAGCTTCTATCTTCCATGGACGTCAATTCAAAAGGAACCATATTGCATTTTCAAAATTGTAGTTGAAGTGCAGAAAGAAAGAACAAAAGTAACAAATGAAGAAAATTTACTTGATATAAAAGGAGAAAAGGGATAGTGTGAGAATCATTAGAGATTGCATACCCTGCTCAACTCTGAGTTCAAGTGGTTGTGCTTCCTTTGCCGAAGAAGCCTTGCCACCATTGGCCAACTTATCTCCTTTCCCCCCTTTGGCCAAACCACCTTTGAAAAAATATCATTTGTGCACGGACAGAAAATCAGCACAAAAAATAAAAGCAAATCAAAAGTAATGAACCAAAAAATAGATCCAGAATACCTTTAGCAAAAGTGGTTTCAAACGTCCCATTAGATTTTGAAAAGAAGTCAAATTTTCCTTCAGGTGAACCTATAAGACAATTGCCAATACTTAGAAAGAGTAGAGAGTGAAAATATTTATAGCAGTAGCATGATAAAATAAGCTTGAAACAACCTTATGATATTATAAAAATATTTCCACCAGTCACATCCCACAAGTAATATTTAAAACAAATGAAGAAAGAAGTAACCTTCAGTATCAAACTGAACTTTTCTTCCCCGCTTTGACTTTGCTGAGCTATCATCCTTTCCTCCTAGTGATGCTTCAAAATACCACATAAATGGAACAATCGTGATTTAGAACCTGGAAAGAAGAAAGAAACGACGCATGCATGGGGCATCTTCTAGGGGCATCGTCTAGAAAGAATCTTCCCTAAAATTTCAAACATGATTCCACCCATGTTAAATTGGAAGCTTACAAGAACGAAGATTGAAAATTGTCCTAGAAGCTAAAGAATATAAAGTGATGGCTACTACATTGACGCATACTCCTAGACGGGGCAGGGGGGAATTGTTATCCACGGTAAGTTGTATCGAGTGTCAAGACTCACAGAAGAAGAAGCCGATGCCTAAGCTTTTATGATGATCTGATATGCCAGCAGCATATGGGTTGGGAAAAAAAAGGTTGCTTTAAATTAAAGCCCTAACCGAGTTTCAACTTTCAAGCCTAAAATTAATTGGAGACGGACATGTAAAGAATCAGAGAGAAAATGCAAAAAAAGCCTTACATTTGAGAGAAGATTTTCCTCCTTTCCCTCCTTTCTCCATTACTGATACTGGGCTGCGACAAGATTTGAGAATGCTAATGCTATTGCTTTTGTTTAAACCCTGTTGCCTGTTTGTCTATTAAGTTTTAACTCGTGGTCACATATATTATATGATGACAAGTGGGAAGAATGTAGTTGAGGACATTTCCGTCTTTTAGTCACTGGGCTGAAACTGAAGAAGATCCTTGGAAGTTGGAACAAACCCATTCTTGAAGATTAAGTGGTAGACTGGTAGTTATGTACTTACGTTTAGTTTAAAAACAATGTTGTATCATATATAAAGAGATAAAACAAAAAACAAAATAATTAATTTACATAAATTTTATTCAATTTTTATCGGTTTATATGACTCAATTATAAATAAAACATTATTGTTCGTTTAATTAGCTTAATAGCGTTTGTTTTTTGTAATTGCACATTCGCATGAATACGAAAACATGGTCTGCAAATAAATTTCAGGGGTGATCAAGTGGAATTTAATCAAAGAAAAATACAGTTGCTTGTCCAATATGTAAAACAAAAAAATTGTTCAAAATATAAATGAATTTACAAGGACCTGGACCTCTGCTGCAACTGGAGTTAACGGTGATTAGGAGTGCCTTAAGATAAGGTATCAATGCAATATGCCAACAGATTATTTTCCCGCTTGTCCAGTGAAGCAAATAAATGACAAATAAACCACCTAAAAGAAATCTATCCAAAATCAAATACAAAGTAACTCACAAGTAAACACAAAGTCTTAACATTCTCTCTAACTGTGATCTTCTGCACACAAAAACCCACATTTCTGATTTCTCCACCGAAAAACAACTCCATTCCCAGCACAAAACTAGTCAACTTGATATGATAATGGGTCTGAATCTCAGGTATCATCAACTTGTGAGTGAAACACAAAACTGGGAAATGTAGTGGTGATGTCTCTGTCAAACAAAAATGCATGAGATGTTAGTTGCATGAACCTGAAATATAAAGCTTAATTGGTAATCAAAGCAAGAAATACAGAATGCCTATGCACAATATATGCTAAAAACAAACAATTCAGATGGTTGAAATTATTATAGCAAAATATATATATATATATATATATATATAATTCTGGGAGGAAAAGTTAACAACCACACAACATTAATAATACATGAAATTATATTCGTGGTCCCTAATATATTGTCTTTTATAATAGTATCACCTATATTAGCTCAATGCTTCTGTGCTAAATACAAAAGACATGTAACTATATTCCATTTAATCATAATTGATTCAAAAAGCACTCACTTGAGATATTGAAGAGTCATATTCTTCAAAAGAGATGGATGTCGTAAAACAAGGTTACGCCACTCTTCCTTATCAATCTTCCCATCATGTTTGGTATCAGCTTCCTCAAAGGTCTACGTATAACAAAAACGTGACATCTATTGAGAAAGTAATTTGATTGGATATCCAATTATGTATTTGTGCATCAGTAATCCATCAATTTAACATAATAATTACACAGGAAATCAACACAACTTTGGTATTACTCAACATTAAATGGTCAGATAAGCAGCATAAGCTTTTTACATTCATGAGTTGCTATGCAGCCTAGCAAATATCAATACTGAATAGCATCCATTCAGATTTTCCAAAATTAAAACTAGTAAGGAGGACAAAGGATGTATGGAAGCCATATGATCAGCAAATTGATTTTCTTCCTTTTCTTGAGCATTTTTCCATATCCTTCCCCTTTATTACTATCCAGGATTAAAGATTTTACCCTATGACTCAGCACTATTCACGCAATTACAATTAAATCTTTCATTAACATTGACATAAAAATTCAAGACTCCATAATCATAGCCTCTCAGGATTAAGCATTTGGAATATCGTAAAGTAGCAAGAATACTACTTCAATGGAGTACATGTGCATAACGGTCTACTCAAAAAACAGAATAAAGATAATTATATTTGACTTTAACAAATGGGTCTAGGAACAAATAATATCCCTCATTTTCTGGGTTGTTTTAAGTAAGATTTGAATCAGTTCCAAGAATATGATACCAGCATATAAAGGAAGATCAAAGCACCATAGAAAAACTAAATTGACTGAATTAAACTACTCATTACAAAATACAAAACAGAAAGCTCAGTCAGCATTAAAAAAAAAAAAAAAAAGAAAATTGATTGAATCCAAGAGATTTATAACTATCGTTCATATCATCTGACATGGAAACTAAATCAGTTGGACTAGAGAAGCACCTTGTCAATGATACTCTCAATAACATCATCTGAAAGATTCATTCCAGATTCTGTAAGTGTAGCTACTACCATTTGCTTTACCTATATATTAAAAGATGGTGGTCAAAAGACCTTTTTAACATGCCTGAAAAATAAAATTCAAAATCAAAATAACCCAAGAAACAAAAGGAAAAAGTAGTGAGAAAAATTACTTCCTGTCTCTCGATAAACCCTTGGTGTTTAAGATCATATAGTTGGAATGAAACTGCAAGAAGAGATGCCCAAAACTCAAAATTTTATTTGTATTTGTATCACCTTACTATCACCAGGAGCTTAAAGACTTAAAACGTGAAGAAAAGCTAATAGTAAAGAACCAAATGAACACTTTAATTTGATAACTAAAGATATATTCTCCACACACTTACACTCAATCTTATCATCAATTGGAGCATTGGGGTGAAAGACAGAAAGTGCACGAGCAAATTCTTCAAAATCTAGTATACCATTGTGCTTAGTGTCAAACAAGTCAAATACCTACAAAAATAGAAAGACCAATGTTCATATATTACCATAGAAACTTCCTTAATCTCATTAATACTTGTTAGGATGTGTGAATGTATGCATGTGCGCACAATTCTGCGCATCTGATTTCATATTTACCATCCAAAATTGAGATAAATAACAAATTATCAAGTAGAGAGGTGCAGGAATAGCAGACGGACAATGAAAATAAGATTCTAAAAGTTTGACACATAGAAAGTACCCGATCAGCAAATAAGCTCTCCTTTTTGTTTGTCTTGAACAATGCTAACTGAAACTCTTCCTGTAATGTGACACACAGGAGACAAGAGATAACCATTGGAGTAAGATCCACATTGCGCATCAGAAGAGAAATATATTTCTATAGAATGAAGTTCTTGATATGGTAATATGATAAAACAAACTTAGCATTTCCACCTTCCAAATGCCCTGGTATCAAACAAACAACTGCCTAAAAAGAAGCATCTGTTACCTTGTTGATCAGCCCATCATCAATCACTGCACTGCTGATCTTCTTAAACAATTCATACAGAGCCTCAATTTCACTTACACTAACTGCATTACAAACAAGGAATACAACAAAGCTATTACTATCATCCAAATGTTTATTTCACTAAAGGAAAACATAAGGAAAGGGGAAAAGTAAAGGATAAAGTGGCAAATTATGTCATTTGTATGCCGAACTAATACACTCATCCAGTATGACTTAATTTTAACTTTTTGGCCTTGATTATCACATCCTCCATGGGAACAAAAATCTACCACCACGCTATTAAAAGATGGAAAAAAAAAAAAATATGTTCTATAATTTAATCCAAAAGAGAAAAAGGAGAAAAAATTCCTCTGGAAAAGGAAATAAAAGAATTAATATTTAAGCACGATCATAATTAAATGGACCATGGTAACCTGAACGACTTTCTCATCTTTGATCAAATTTTAAGACTCCATAGGTAGTGTCCCCTTTTTCAAAATTTTGAAAAGATAGGAAAATATATAGCAATTAGTCAGGATAAATATTATACTGCAACTGGGAAGAAACAATCAAGTCTAGGTAGAAATTGAATTGATAAAAAAAAATTGTTTGATCTGTTTAATAATAGGCAAATTTTCCCACATATATACACATTTTGTGACACATAGCATACTCTTCTAACCCTTCAAGAGATCATCTTCCAGTAATGCTCCCATAACATGCTTAATTTGATTACAGCATTATAGCAGTTGATTAGTTGAGTCAAACACAACAAAAGTTTAAATTTAGGACTACAAAATCCTGAAATATAATTTCATTGATCAATACTCCCAACCGAACAAGAAGAGGATCCATGGATAAAGAGAGGAAAACATAATTCTTTTTTTGAACTAAATCTTCAATTTTGGTTTTCTACAGGGTAGGCAGAAGCAATGAACATACTCGACAATGAGAACAAGGGCTTCTCGGCCTGTCCACTGTAGAGGTAGCAATTAAGCTTCATTTTTCCCCCTTTTTATCTTATTCATGGTCCAGAATCAACACAAGTAAGCAGAAGACAAGGTAGCAAGAAAACTTATTACATCAGCAGACCACTTGATTCTTGACATATAGAACTGGAAAATATATCAAAGAGAGTTTACATACACACTGTCTCCCTTGCAAGAGCTTCTGGATTTTCAAGACCCCTAGGTTGCTTGTATAAATCGGCATCACAACAATTTACAAGAGCAGCACACAAATGCTTTAATCCGTCTAGGCACTGCACCATGATCTTTTACAGAAGTCAAAACACTCCATACCTGTGTGCAAGGAAAAAATAATTTTTAAATTTGGGACACTCTGATTAAAAGGGACCATATTCTGGTAATAGATTGAAAAAAAAAAAAAAATTAACCTCTTGCTTGTCCAGCAGACCCAAGTCTTAATAGTGGGTGGCAGAGCATAGGGCCATTCAAAAACAAATGTAAAAATTGGAAAAATCAGTTCATTATTCCTAAACTTGAAACATATGATCCAAATTCTCCATTCACAATACATCAACACCACTTTTCATTGTAAGTCATGTCAAAAGAGATTCGGGTTAGAATTGTAATTCTCTATTACTGCTAAACTACAAGATTTAATCAATTATGCTTCTGAAAACTTTATGAAAAACCATGAGGCAACTCTGACACCTTCAGACATGAGTCCAAGATAGATATGAATATTTCATTCAGCAATTAATGATGGTCAGGCAGCAGTAACAATTGTTTAAAAATAAGTAAACAAGCCAGCCCCTAAACTGGTAAATACATTTTGGATCATTTGAAGGGTGAAGCTGAAACTACTATATGTTAACACTTGGTCTGTCATCCCATTTCTAAAGTCACAAATATATCCAATGTGCTCAGTCACTGCTGAGTATACAAGAATGAGAAAAGAAAAGGAATACTGGAATCTTACAACTTCAATTTTGAACCATGGATACTGTAAGAATCTGATAATAGTTTCCTTACCCGTTTCCTCAGTAACAAACAAACAAATATATCACAGTATACTCACCAAACAGTTTGCATACACCAACAAATATGTTAAATCTGCTCACTTGTCATAACATAAACTTCTAGAATAGGAAAGAAACATTGCAGTCCTTCTTCATTCAAACACCGGTTAGTCACAAGAATTCCAAAATAATTTTCCTTTTTCCCTGTTTTCCCAGCAAAAATACAAATAAATGCAACATGAAAAATTAAGAACAAAGATTAGGTTAGATATATGCATGAACTCAGTTAAAGCCAGCCCAATAAAAGGCAATTAACTCAAAAGCCATACATAAACATGTATAAATTACTTTAAGTGGTAAGTCATGCTCACCAACTAGTGGATATGTAAATTCAACTCTTACCGTTGAAATTACCCCACCTAATGGCTAGCATACAAGAGTAGCTAATGCTATCATTCCAGCAATTCCATATAACCGTTTATAAAATTTCAGGCCATATTTCTTTGGTCTATCATATAACAATTCAATAGTGTTGTCCCACTTAATCTCTGTGATGTCATCGCCATACATCAACAACCATTAAAAGCCTAGCTGCCCAGACTGAATTAGGCAAGCATTCGAGCTCATATTAATAATTTGGCTAAAGATAGAAAGAAGATCGGCCATTAAAAAGATTTAGATAACAGACACATAATTGAACACAGAATCATAGTCCAATTGCAGAATTAGAAGAGAAAATGCAATAAATCTTGTCATACAACAAAAAGAAGCGGAAATTAAAGTTATAAAACCAAACTGATAAACGCATTATAGGAGCCCATTATTGAAAACAAAATAAAAACCTAACAATTACATCTGATGACGCCAATGCCACCAATTAAAACCAAAATTGAGACTCTAACCGTACAATGTAAAGGATTATAGATCAAATAAAAAAAATAAGAAAGATAAATCTTTTAAGCAAATATAGAGAAATTGGCATATAGACATGTATAAGGAAACAATGATAAGAGGTGTAGGAAAAATAAAAAGATAAAAAGGGCTCACCTTTTAGAAAAACCAGAGAGAAGAAAAGGGAAAGAGAAGGGCAGGTGATGAGAAGAAGTCAAGATTCTCAGACATGTCTCAGTACTTAAAAAAAAAAATAATAATAATAATAAAAGGTTAATTGTTATTATCGAGTTAAGAGGGGTTTTATTTTCTTAAGTTCTTAATTAAAGTAAATTAAACTCGCTGAAAAGGCAGACACAGACTGACAGATAGAGATGAAATGGCGAAGGGTGTTTTGGTAATTGAAAATAGAAACTTTGACACACGTGGCTCTTGTTTGCACTTTGTGCACTTTGTCTCTTAACTAAATAGATTTACCATACCTGCTAATTTGTACGTTTTGCACATTAATTACATTACAGGTTCTTTGTCTGTTTCTGTCTTTGTCTCCATGGTTTGACAATATCTCAGGCAAATGTCAAATTCCAAAGGATTTATTATTATTATTTCAACAATCAGCTTCAGCAACCGTTACTTTGGGCTTGGGCCATAATGGTTGCTTATGAAGCAGTTGAAATTGCCTGAGTCTCGGATCACTCTTCGACAGAAGATATATTTCTATCTGGGTGAAAAAGTCATAGTTTGAAGGTTTGGTATTTTGGTAAATCTTAATGATAATCAATTTTTAGTTAACAGAACGAGGTTATATGTTATCCTTGTCATCTTCTCTATGACCCTGTAAAAGTGAAGCTCAGGGTACTGTTGTTATGACCCTTTCTATTTTCATCAACGAAACAAAACATACATATTCTACTAACTATTGTACGGGGACAGTTTTTAAAAGACCATTTGAAGTTTACATTAATTAAAAGGCTATCAAGTTTTAAAGTGTTAACTAAATAGTCATATTATTGATTAAGGTAATTAGGTTAATTATGATTAATGAAGTATTATGTAATTTTTTCAAAATTATACTATATTCCCACAAACCCGAAATTGTTGCAAGAAACTCAAACACCTTATCTTCCTCCTGCCATAACGCATCTCTACCTCTGCATCTTCTTTCTTCTTCTTAGCTTTGTCTACATTTTTCTTCCTCCTTCCTCTACATCTTCTTCTTCCTCATTCCTCTATATCTTTTTGTCCTCCGCCATTAACACTTTCTTCTTCCTCCACCATTAACATCTTCTCCGTCAAAGATCCCCTTCCTCCTCTCCTGACATTTCGTCTAAGTTTGTGTATCTCTTTTTACATTATATTAGATTTACAAAGATTTAATAATGGATGGGGTTTGGGTTATGATTTTGATTTAGTTGTTTAGGTTGTTGGGTTGTGTTTGATGTAATGCAAGTTGAAAGGAGTGAAATTTGTTGAAAATTTGTTTGGGTATGATGGAATCGATGTAGGTGGACATGACTAAAAATGTGTTTTGGGTATGATGGATCGCTTAAGCGATCTGGTAGGTCTGGTAATGCAGCAGATAGATTGCTTAAACGATCAGGTATGATCAGATAGATCGCTTAAGCGATCTGGTAAAAGTCTGGTGATAGGTTCAGATCGTTTAAGCGATCAGTAAATGGCATAAGATCGCTTAAGCGATCATGGTTATCTATACTGGATCGTTATAAATAACCATGATGCTTAAGCGATTCAACATACCATATAAGCGATGTGCAAATTCTTTTTAAAATATTTGCGATCTAGTATAAATAACCATGATCGCTTAAGCAATACAACAGACCATATAAGGACTGTGCAGATTCTTTTAATATTTGAACCCTTAGTTCAGCATTTAAGAATTTTTTTTTTCTTGCATTACAGGTAGTTGGCTATTATTACACATGGGACAAGTTATAGGTGTTGAATATTTTGGTGAGTGGGTGGAGGAAGAACGTAGCTAGGAGTGGATTGGGAAGAGCAAGAAGTTATACCATTGCTGTGAGCACAGAGGTTAGTTTTGATGAGTTGATGATGAAATAATTAGAAGAGGTAATTTGAGTTGCTCGCGTAGTGATATAGTTGTGAAGTATGTTTTAAGTAGAGTTCCTGAACATTATAAGGTACTCTGCTATATTAAAGTCGGATGAAAGTGTGAAGTTATATTGATTGATGTGGCGATAATGGTTCGAGGCCGATTTTAAGGGTTTTTTATAAAAAACCGTTCGATGTTGGTTCAAAGGAAGGGGATAACGAGGAAGTAGGCGAAGATTTGCCTGGTTTAATTTGAACTACGAGGCCATGATTTGTTAGTTGAAAAATCAAGAGTAGACGTGAATTGGGTGGTGAGGAGGAGACGTAGAAGAGGTTGGTGATGGGGGGCAGAATGAAAATGTTGAGGAGGAGGACCCCGTAGATGTTCCCACAAGATGTAGAGATTCCTTTAAATACAGATTATGCAGAAGGCGTAGATGTGAGGAAGAGAACACCAGGTCGTTTATGTAGGTTCAGAGAGGGCAATTGGAGGTAGTAGTGAATCAGCTCATGTTTTTACGGATGGATCGAAATTGCACATAGGGTATTTATTTGACAACAAGAGGAAGTGGTGAGGAAGCTAAACTTGTTGCCGTGAGAGGTAATTTTGAGTTCACACCAAAAGTCAAATTCATTGGCTATGACGATTGCATGTCGTAACCGAAATGTAAGTGGCGGATCTATTGTAGAAGGTTGGCAAAGTCGGAAAAATTATTCTTAGCACAATACCTGTGAGCATAGTTGTGGTTTGGGACATATTTAGGTGAGCATTGACAAGCGTCGCTGATGTTATTAGACAATTTGTCAAAAGTCGGTTGTTGAAAGGAAAGTCCCATCCTAAAGACATTCAGAGACTTGTGCGCACAGAGTTGGGATTGCTGTTAGTTACTGGAAATGCTGGAAAGGGAGACAACATGCACAAGATTTTGAGAGGGGCACGCCGGAGCACAGGTACGCAGTATTAGAAGTGTACCTTATATTCTTGAGTTAACAAACCAAGGTAGCAAGACGGCTTTGAAGTGGGACAGGAATATGATGTTTAAATATTTTTTGTTGCTTACGGTTCTGCTATAAGGGGTTTTGTAAACATGAGAAATGTTGGGCTATTGATGGTTGCTTTTGACGAGAAAGTATGGAGGGTACATTGTTGGTGGCCACTGCACAGGACAACAAGAATCACACATATCCTGTGCAGGTGGGTGTGGTTGACTCTGAGAATGACGAATCGTTGACTTGGTTTTTTCAGCGTTACGTACGATGGTGCCTGACACTGACGAGTTGTGCATAATATCCGATAGGCTCTATAAAAAGGGGATTGCCATATTTACCGTCAAGCACATCACGGATTCTATATGAGGCACCTTGGTGAGAACATAAAACAAAAGTTTAAGTGTGCTGGCCTCTTTCAAACATACTACAATGGCAGCAAAAGCTTATCAGGTGATTCGTTCGAGGAGCACTTCCAGCAAATCCGAATCAAGTATGTAGAGTTGCTAAGTATCTTGAGCATGATGTTGGTTTCGAGTGATGGAGTAGAGGTACTTTTAGAAGAAGTTTGATGTCATGACCACGAACATAGCTAAGTCCTAAATTCGAAGTTGTTAATAGAAAGAGAGTTTCCAATAGTTGCACTTTTTGATGCAATCCAAAGGACACTGTCGCGGTGGTTCCATGAGCGTCGTACGAAGTCAGATAATTACTACAACCTTGTTCCGTCAACTAAAAAAATATTGCGAGAACGTATGGAATTGTCAAATGCAAGTTTGCCTATCCTCTTAATGCTCAAGAGTTATTGTGGCGGCTATGGTTCAGATGCTCTAGTTAACCTTGTCAGAAAAACTTGCAGCTGTAAAGTGTTGACATTCAACGTTTCCTTGTCCTCATGCACTAGCAGCACTAAAACACCAACGGAAGCCGGATTTTGGTTCAAGAATTTACATGGAATACTGCTCCCCTCTCTATATGACAGATCACTACATGCTAGCTTATTCAGAAACGAATATATGGTGCCTCCAGAAGAGCAATGGGTAGGCCGCCAGAGATGGCTAACATTATCATCACCCGCCATTAAGAAGACAGCAAAGGGGTGAAAAAGAGTTAAGCATATTCCATCAGCCTTTGAGGTTTCCCAGAAGATGAATAAGTGCTCAATTTGCAAGCAACTGGCCACAAGAGAAGCAGTTGCCAAAAGCAATCACATGCAGATCCATAAAATTAGGTTCGAAGAAGGACGAAATGCAGGGAGTTGCCAAGGCCAACCGTTGATGAGTTATTATTCAATTATTGATGTTATAAATTTTAATGTCACCTTTAATAAATCATTCTTTATATACTTATTACATGACCTAAATATTTGTTGTTGATTTTAGTTGGAATTAGGTTGTCAAATTGAGTAGAAAGTACGGAATTAATACGTGTTGGTAATTTTAGTTTGTCAAAATTCAGGAGAAAAGCAGGAAAAGTATATATTGCCCATGATCGCTTAAGCGACTAAGTATATCGCTTAAGCGACAAAGGGTTTTTCAAACAGGATCGCTTAAGTGCAAAGGGTTTTTCAAACATGATCGCTTAATCGACCAAGACAAAAAGACAAGAATCGCTTAAGTATATCTCGGATCGCTTAAGCGATCGTGCACCTGGGCAGATGATTTTTCAAACAGGATGCTTAATCGAACAAGACAAAAAGACAAGAATCGCTTAAGTGATATCCGGATAGCTTAAGCGATCCGAGATATCGCTTAATCGACCCAGACAAAAAGACAAGAATCGCTTAAGCGATCTGAGATATCGCTTAATCGACCAAGACAATAAGACAAGAATCGCTTAAGCGTACACGATCGCTTGATCGACCAAGACAAAAAGACAAGAACGCTTAAGCGATATTTGGATTGCTTAAGCAATCCACGATTGCTTAATCGACCAGACAAAAAGACAAGAATCGCTTAAGCGATATCTCGGATCGAAGTGATCAGCACCTGGCAGATTTGGATCGCTTAAGGTCATGTGAAAAAGAAAAGAATGCTTAAGCGATATCTACGATCGCTTAAGCGACCCTGTGTAAACGAAGTTCCTTTTATAGGATCGCTTAATCGACAACGAAAAGTTTAAAAATTTGACAAATACACCCCACCTATCCAACTTCCCAGATTCAGCCACCACCATCGGAATCCTAGCGAGAAAGGGTGTTACAAGCTAGCGGTCGGATAGGCTGATAGGGCAT